CTCTAGTGATTTCTGCTTTTACCTTTGTTATTTCTGTCTGTGTGCTTTCTTTTGGCTTACTTTTTCTTCTAGCTTTTAAGTTGGGAATTGGAATTATTTAGTTTATTTTTATTGATACAAGTTTTTAAGGCTACAAATTCTCTGATCACTGCTTCTGATGTATCTTATTTATTCTAATATGTAAAGTTTTTTTAGAAAATTGTAATTTTAGTTTATATTACTATTTTTTGCCCAAAACTTGTGTAATAAATTTTTTTTTAGTTTTCAGAAGAGCCTTGTTTTATATTTTTTGTTAGCTTCTAGTTTTATTATATTGTGATCAAAGAATATTTGTAATGTGTGTGTTTGATCAAATTTACCAGTATATTTTTTACTTAATATGTGATCAGTTTTTGTGAATATATCATGTACATTTAGTAAGGTGTATTTTCTATTTAGAGTGTAAAATTTCAGTACATATCCATAATCTCTACCTTATTGATTATGTTGTCTCTTATATTTTTATTATTTTTTGTACACTTGATCTATCTTGTACACAGAGAATGTCGTGTTAAAGTCTCCTATTATTCATCATGAATGGTGGCTTTTGTCACATTCAATGGTGGCTTTTGCTTAAATTTTCAATGGTGGCTTTTGTCACATTCAATGGTGGCTTTTGCTTAAATTCTACTCAATAGTAATATCACAACTTCTGTTTTATGATTTCTATTTGCCCAGAATACTTTTGGTCATCCCCTTATTTTTAGCCATTCTGGATCTTTTTGTTTTGGATGTGTGTTTTCTACACAGTATAGTTTGGTCCTGCTTTGTGAGCCAAATTAAAAATTTCTTCCCCTGATAGATGAGGTAAATCTATTCATATTTATTAATATAACTGATAGATCTGTCTCAACTCTTATAATTTTATATTGTGTTACATTAAATTTGCTGTGTTTATGTTACATGCTTTTTTTGTTTTTTTAAAATTTCTTTTGATATTTAGGGAGGGTTGTGTTCTTTGTTGATTGTTTACCTTTGTATATACCTTTTAAAAATGCCTTTAATATACTACTTTTTAACTAATTATTCTCCAGTCATGTTTAAGTGAATAATATTCTTTAATTCTC